AACTGTCAACTTTTATTTTTTTAAAAAAGGACACCATCTAATGGGATGTTCTGGGAAACCTCTCCATGGCTATGGCTTTTGCTGGAAAGGGATGGGTATGATCCACCCCTGCACATTAACCTCTCTCTCTCCTGGATGCCTTGAATGTGATCAGGAACATGTTCCCATTGGCTGCTCCCTTATAAAATATGGTCCTTTTGAAAAGACATGGGTGAAAAAATCATTTCTGGAAAAAACAGGTTAAGGGGGATTTGTCCCAGCACCCCTTGAATTTGGGTTGGGAAAAACCTGCGCAAGTATGAACGACCCACTTTTATACTGCTTTGCAAACCAGTTTACAACATAGTCGGTTTATAATGACCCCTAAGTTGCCCACTCCAGTTTCCTCAGTCAATATGCATATAAGGGTGACAGGAACATTGTACCAAAAGGAATCTCCTAAAACAGTCTCCAGTCTCCAGGGTAAATCATTTAGAGTTCCAAAAATGCCAGCTGAGAGCAGAAAAGGAATTCCTGCTGTGCTATCTTGGGTCAATGATTAGCAGATCTTCTCTAATTATTATTTTAAAAATATATATATGTATCTTTTACTTTGCTAAAATTCACAATTACTTTAAAATTCATCATTTTGATCTTTCAGCAGCAATGTTGCTGATTTTTTAATCACAATGTTTCTAGTTACTTTAGTTCATTTTTAGCTATTGTAAATTATATTTTTATTTTAATAATTTAACAAATGAAGCAATGCTGCTTTCTCATCATTTTTTTAAAAAACATGTTTGAACAGTAATAAACCTTATTTCTTTAGCAACATAGTGCTATGGCTAACATTTCCCAGTTCAGAATTGAGGAGACTCCCTTCCCAGCAGCAGGAGGAGACAGTGATTTGAAATCTTCATGGACAACAAATTTTCTGTTTTAGTCTCTGTTGAACTAGTGGGACTGATGAATTCCAGAAATGAGAGCTCTCCTTAGCATGCCATGTCCCCAGCTGACTACCATCTGAGAAGTATTTGCAAAACACAGAATGTGAGCTATGCAAAGTACTTCTGTGTCTATAACCTTCAGATGATTTTAACAAACAACCTTATACTGAAAGCCTTAATCTGTAGTATTCTCTGACCTCGCAATGAGAATTCCAGTGTATTAAGTGGTATAAAAATGCCACATGTCGGTAGGATTTTTTGTGAGAATAGAATCAAGGCTATTCTGTGCTGCCCTAACACCCAGAATCAGAAAACACATGTTCGCATGACTTGGAATGCTTGTTTTCAGCAAATGTCAGCCCTCCTTGTTTGAAAATAAAAATGTAAACAGCACAGTAGTAAAAGATTTCTTGGGATTGTATTTGTCTCAACTGGTTTTGATCAATTTAAAAAAAAAACTGTACATGGCAAGGAACTAAAAGTCAGGGATTCTATCACTCTCTCTCTGTGGACGTTTTCACACTTGGGGTCTCAAAGCCGCATGGAAGCTCGAAAGAATCATACCGGAATGGATCCTGTAGCTTCAGATCGGTGAAAGCAGCATCATTCCGGTATGATTCTGGCCGCGCCAGATGCAATTCCTTTTAAAAAGAGGAATTGCAAAGAGCGGGGCTGATGCCGGGGATGGGACAGGATGGGACGGGGTGGGGCGGGGCTTGCTGCGACGTTATGTGAACACACGGAGAAAGGACCCAGAATGATGCAGGATTGCGCAGGGGATGGCACTGGATGGGACAGGGTTTGCTGCAACGTCGTGTGAAAAATTGGCAAAGGAGCCGGCATGGGGCCGGAATGAGGTAGGATTGCTTCTGCCTTAAGCCCAGTGTGAAAATGTCCTGTGTGTATACTCTCCACATTCGCTGGGGTTGGGGCACACAACCCCTGTGAAAGCAGAAAAAACACAAATAAAACTCCACTATTTTTTTATACCTGAGAGAACACCTCTCTAGGAATCTCTAGGTCATCCTGTACAACTCTGTGGTCAACACATACCAGATGTTGACCATAGAGTCATGCTGGAGGACCTATAAATGCCTATAGAAGTGTTTTCTCTAGGAATCACTAGGTCCTTCAATGCAACTCTATGACCAACCTCTGGCAGAGTCCCAATGGAGCACCTAGAGATTTCTATAGAGAACATATTAATCAAATCCATAAATAATCAAATCCGCAAAAGTCAAAACCAGAAATGCAGAGGGCTGATTCTCTCTCTCTCTCTTTTCCCTGACTTTTTCCTATTATGAGACCCAAGCCAGTCTCATGCTTCTTCTGGTAACTTCGTCAGTTCTGTGTGAATGCTGCTGCAAAATGTGACTCTGGGAGATGAAAGAGTTTTGAAAATGTTAATAATCTCTGAAAATGTGCATGCACGCGCACACGCACACACACACACCTCACCATCTTGCATACCTCCTTGTTTATAATCTCAAAATTATGAATTTTTTTGTTCTCGTTAACAAAAATGCAATAAGGATTGACATTCTACTTTAAATAGATATGTCTCCTACTCCAACCCAAATTCATCACAGAAGCCACCAGCTGCCACTGCTGCTCATACAAGGCACTGCAGCATCAGGTGGCTGTAGTTCTCCTGCATGCACAGCTAGCCCAAAATACTCTGCTGCCTGAGATGGAGCAGTAAATGGCCCCCTAAGTCAAGCTTCAAGTTATTTGGGCATATGAGGCAGAGAATCCCACAAGCATCTCTCCCCATCCAGGAAAGTAGAAATTAAATGATTGATTGATTGATTTTATATGCTCCCTTTGTCCTGAGATGGATTCAAGCCAGTTTACAATACTTTTTAAAAGATTCGGCTAAAACATTAGTTTACAAAAGTTAAAACAGAATTAAATAATAATATTTTTAAAATGTGATTTGAAAGTTAAAAAGATATTTAAAACACAATTTCCAGTAAAAGATTAAAAATACAATAAACTGCTTTGCAAGTGAGAGCCAGTGTGGTGTACTGGTTTGAGCACTGTGCTATGACTCTGGAGACCAGTGTTCGAATCTTGACTAAGCCATGAAAACCCACTGAATTACCTTGGGCAAGTCACACTCTCCCAGCCTCACAGGAAAGCAAAGACAATTCCCCTCTGAACAGATTTTGTTAAGAAAACATGATGATAGGTTTGCTTTGTGGCTCCTGTAAGTCAGAAACTACTTGAAGGCACACAACAACAACAACAACAACAACAACAACACTTCACACACACATTGCTGCTCCATAATTAAAATTCAAAGGCCTGTCTGAACAAAAATGGCCTCACCTGTCAACAAACAGAGAGCAAAGAGGGAACCAATCATCATTATCATCATCGTCATCATCATAATAGCACAGTCAATCATAAACAAATTGCTACTCTATTGCTATTGTATTGTGTTGTTAGGAGTCTTCAAGTAGACTCTGATGTTTGGCAACCCTATCCTAGGGTTTTCTTGGCAAGATTTATTCATGGGAAGTTTGCTGTTACCTTTCTCTAAGGCTGAGAGAATGTAACTTGCTCAGCAGTGATTTTCTTTGGCTGAGCGGAAATTCAAACCCTGATCTCCTGAGTTCCTAGCCCTACACTCAGACCACTAGACTGTATTGGCTCTCACTCTATCATGGCACTCACAATTTTACGCATGTGGTGGTTTCCATGCTTACCTTAATGTTAGGGCCAGCCTTAGCAGCATATTGCATGTTGGTGTGTGCCTTCAAGTCGTTTCCAACTTATGGTGACCCTAAGGCAAATCTATTATGGAGTTTTCTTGGTGAGATTTGTTCAGAGAAGATTTGCCATTGCCTTCCCCTGAGGCTGAGAGCATGTGACTTGCCTAAGGTTACCCGGTGGGTTTCATGGCTGAACAGAAAATCAAACCCTGGTCTCCAGAGTCATAGTCCAACACTCAAACCACTGACATCTGTCCAACTCCTTTAGGGGTCTCTGTTTTTGAGCACATGGCAGATGGACTCTAGCTTTTTAGAAGAAGACAGTTTGCTTTGCTTCCATCACACTATTGCCAGAACATTCTGCTTGAGCCAAAAGAATAGGGTTCACTGCAGTTCAGTCCTGGGTTAAAAATAATGAAGAACATTCTTACAGAGATGATGCGAAAGCTGATCAAGTAATAACGGCTCACAACAGGATATGCCTGGGAAACCGCACAACCTGGAGGGAAGTAGTTTTTCTGGGTGAAAAAGAAATTAAAACCCAGCAGCAAAATAAAATACAAACTGGTTTTACCACTTCTCAGGCCAACTGGGCTAGAGCCTGGGAATGTTAATGGTCTAGAAAACAAAGAGGGATTTTCTCCTTGTGAAGTACCACAGACAACCTATTGGCCTAAAACCAACTGCCAGTCTCAGGTATAGGAGGCCCATTGAATCAACTGATAAATGGTAAGTCAATAACAATAAATAAAATTTATTTATACCCTGCCCCTCTGTCAACCAATTGGGGCAGCTTACATCAGTTAAAAATTCCATACAATATAA